AGGCCTTTTGCCCTTATTCTAGGAAAGAAACCCAGGCTTCCCTCATTTTGAATAACTGGAAAAACTTCAAAGACCCAAGCAAGCTCCTTTTAGTCCTTGTAAGCAAAAAAAGAAAACTGAAAGCAAAATCATTTCTGCAACCCTCTTCAAAAAAAGATCAAGTTCCCGAAGTGACTACAACCTTGGCTTATTTTTATCTTGTGCAATAGGGAAAAAGACCTATTTCTGGACCTGAGTTCCTGGCAGGCCTTTGAGATACTCAGGCTGTGCCCCCACAACCTTCTTCAAAGCTACAAACTCCTCCCTCTTTAGGAACCTTAAGGCACTATGCGTTCTAACTAATATAGCATTAGCCTCTCTGGCCATGTCCAGGCAAGCGTGTCTATGTGGTATGCGGAGCTGCAAACGCATCTGCAGTGCCACAAACTGCGTGTTCAGTTCTCCATGCTGCAAGGGAGCAGCGTGAGGGGGCAGGTTGCAAAAAATATGTGGAGCGGCGCACTCAGGGGCAGCATGCACCACTCAAAACCGGACCCAGGCCAGCCGGAGCTGCACTCTGCTGCCAGCCAGGCTCCGCATGGCACGATTGTCTATGCTGTAGCCCTGGGAAGTCCCCAGAACCCCAGGTAAGGCTGCTGGGGCCTGAACAGTGCTGGTCCCAGCCTTCCCTATCCCACTTGGGGTAACTTGCCATGCACCAGAGGGCGCATGGCACAGACATTCATCAGGAACAAGGAGCAGTGGCACAAGGTGTGCTGCCACTAGTTCTCCCTGGGGAACCAAATGTCCACACATGTGAACACAGACTTTCAGTGCATATTGCTGTAGATCCATTGATTTCAATGCCATTTTACAACACTCAAGGATCTGGCATATGGGATTTTTAAGTTATCTTTCCTGGTGTGCATTTTCCTCAAATGTCAGCTGCTAACAGTATTTCATTTCTTTGGGGCTAGTCAAGACATCTTGTGGAAGGATGGTATAAAGAGGGTGTGGGTGTAGGTGAGGTGCTTACATTGCTTACATTGTAGACATTTGGATTGCACTGATATACACTGGTTCAATCCCCAAATGCCAGCATGCTATGCTGAAGTGAAGCAAAGATTTCACTGGTACAGATTTCTTTAACATAGGTCCTGACCTCAATGCCAGAGACAGAAATGTACATTAGTAGAACTGTGTACAGTTTTGTTCAGAAAACTATCTCATCCAACAAAAAGCCAATAGATGAGAAATTGAAACACACCATACAAAGTGTTCAAATAAATTGGCTTCATATGTCAGTTGCTTTGGCATAATTTATAAGGAACTATAATATCATAGAGCAGTACTGGAGGAGTGATGCTTTATGATTTATACCATTATCCTCAATGGCTTCTGTGTGGGCCTTGCTCATATAAGGCCATGTTAGTACATCAGTGAAAAAACAGATTCTCGAAGCAAAAGGAGAGTTTTATCCTGCAAAAAATGTTTAGGCCAAACTATCCGTAGCATCAATTAATTAAAACTCACAGTATCTCTGGTATGGGTTAGTAATGCCTTCTTTTATAGATAGAGAAAATGAGGCACACTACATTTTAAGTGTTCTTATGAGTCAGTCGCTGAATCAGGACTAGAGTGTAGGAGCTTTGAGTCTCAGTACCCACCTGTGAGTGATGTTTCGATCTTAATTCTTATGCTTATGGTGTATTGATTTATTCGTAATCACAGTATAGATTCCTATAAATTGGGAGTTTCTAAACTACAATTTGCAAGTGCTTTTTTTCCTTTTCAAAGATATTTTATTTTGCTGGTTTATTTAATGTGACACATTCTCCAAGCAGATCGAACATGTGAGAACCAAACAACTGCATGGCAGGGAGTCCTTGGTGATGAGAGAGAAATGGAAGTCTAGCTGTGAAGAAAATAGCTGACATCATTGTATTTTATAATGGAGCTTTTTGAAGTGTACATTTACAATTTTCGTAATGTCCATAAAAAAGACCGTGTGAGTTAAAACACTGGACCTTTTCAGTTTGCTTACTCCTGCAAGGCAAACAAACATTGATATTGTATATACAAGACTTAGTTCATATTAATTAAGCCTGCTTAGAACAGGGAGCCAGGGGCTGCCCTGCCTGTTACTTTAAGGGGAAAACAGCAGCAGAGTTGGTCGAGGGAACCACTGCACTTGATGGGCTAGCTGCAGGGGAATAGGCAGCCAGAGACCAGAGACTATATGAATGCCTATTGCAGTGCTATCTGCTCTACAATAGGACAGTAGGGCAGAGCCCTGTTTGGACAACTGAGCACTGCTAAGGCAGCCAGAGCAGTGGTTGCAAGATGCTCCGAGATATAGCCATCAGACTCTGATTAGTAATCCTGCAGGTGGCTGGGGAATCACCTACATGGAAAGGACAGGGCTTGTGGGGTTTATAAGCTCAAGGCCAGAGCCAGAGAAGTCAGTCTTGCCATGCTGGGGCAGGAAAAAGAGCTCCGAGGAAGGGAAGAGGTACCCTGAGGGACCCTGAACCAGAGCAGAATGACAGCCGAGTGTGAGGGCTGCTCCAGGGGGTGAGGGATGCTCTGAAGTGGGGGGGGGGGGGGTTTCCTTTTAAAGTGATAGCATGCCTTTTCTTTCCCTGATGTTTTATTTGCCTGCAGGGAAGGTTTAGGTTCAAGTGTTTGCTTGCTTTTATGTTTTGATTCATAGTGGTGGATCGGGTTGGGAATAACAGGGGAGGATGAGGTCCCAGTGGTGCCAGAGAGGCACATCAGATAGCCCACTAGAGGCAGGGACTCAGGGCACAAGCCCAAAAAGGGTAATAGCAGTCCTGAAGCCAAGAGGGCCAGAGCACAAGCCCAAGAGGGGTGGTAGCAGGCCTGAGGCCCAGAGAGCAAGAACAAAAGACTGGAATGGGCTGAAGCCTAGGTTAGATGGAAGTCAGAGTAGTGCTGGGACCAGAGGCCAGCTCTGACACAGTAAGCCTAGGATAAAGGGCCTAGCTAGCTGAAGCTAGCTAGCATGGAGCTGAACCTAGCTAGCAAGGAGCTGAGAAGGCTAAGGCCCCAACCAGGGTGTAGAGGCCTAAGGAGACCTAGCATTGGCTTGGGGGGAAAATGCCCTTCCTAAGTGATGACTGGCAACATCTGTGAGGCATGGGCTTGGCTACAGGGGCAATTGGAGGCCATGAATATCCCATAAGGCAGGAGGTGTCCTGGGGTCACAAAAGGGCCCAGAGATCCCATTTAGCGTGAGGATAGGACTGAGGCTAGCAGGATTCCAAGCGGGGATCTTCTGGTGGAAAGTAGGACTAGGGCTTGTTCTACAACCCTTAAGTAGCTTCCCTTTAAAAATCAACCAGTTACACTAAGGTGCAGCAGGAAAATGCAAAAAGGAGCGTACTTAGAGCCAGAGCAAGGCAGTGGCCATTTGGCCACTGGGGGGCACTATAGCCACCCTTGGGGCCAGGTTTTGGAACTGCTGTTCCAAAACACTGTAAATATCAGTGGCCTAAGAAATCAAGATTTTAATATTGCCTCCATAGTAACATTAATTCGGAAAAAAAAATATAGATAAAATAAACCATTGTCCATTAGGGTTGTTTTTTCCAAAGGAGGAAAATGAACCAGTATATAAAGTGTGTATGTGTACAATTAGCACAATGTGTGTTCACTAGAGCAAAGTATGTAGAAGAGTTGCAAGGTAAAAAAGAAAGATAAAGTGCAGCACAAATCCTTATTTAGGATATACTACATTGCAGATAAACACAGTAGCAACTTGAAAGAAGCAATAATAATTTGTTCTTATTGAGCATCTTTTATCAAATCATTGTATCTTCACTTTTTTATCAAAGCACTTTCAAAACATTAGCTATAAAGTGTTAGCATATAAATAAGATAATGTAAAACATTTGTATTGGTATTAGTGGAAAATGTTAGTAGTGGAAAACAATTTTAAAAAACACAAGGAAAATGTGGCTAAAATACAAAACTCCATACTAGGCAAATTTGAAAAAGAAACACATGGTCCCATTTTAACAGCAATGATGAATTATACTTAAAATTATTGCATTAATGTGCTTTTGCTTTCCAGGTTTTAATCTATAGATGAATGTTCCTTGAATACATTGGCAGACAAGGTTCCTTGGGTGAATTTGATATCTTTTATTAGACCAACCCAAATGGTTGGAGAATAGTTATTAAACAAGCTTTCGGGTTCAAAAACCCTTCGTCAGGCTCAGGAAGCTGCAGCAGTTGGTGCAGCTTCCTGAGCCTGACGAAGGGTTTTTGAACCCGAAAGCTTGCTTAATAACTATTCTCCAACCATTTGGGTTGGTCTAATAAAAGATATCAAATTCACCCAAGGAACCTTGTCTGCCTATATCCTTAGACCAACACGGCTACAACCTAAGCCCCTTGAATACATTGGCACATTTCCACTTTTGGATAAAGAGGCACTGCCAACTACTTTCCTTGATTAAAAAAATACTTTCCATTTTGTAATGCTTATTTTAGAAATGTTGAAGATAAAATGTGTTTCCTTACTAACTCTGTCATGGCCCCAGCAGCAACATGCAAAGCTATTTCTGAGTTGACAGCTGTTGTAGAACAGCATGGGTGTGCACACTTAGTTTTCAGATGTATCATCAGGGCAAAACCACCCTGCATTTTTCTTTAGTTACTCAGCGATAGTGGGGAGGTACTTTATTAAGAGGTTCTCAAAATCAGAAGTTTTTTTTTTTTATAGCTATTTGAAAGACTATGGACCTCATGTGGCATTGGACATTTTATTGTAACTAAAACTCGGATGGACAGTGTAGGTGTAAGGTGTATGAAAATAAAATGTTTCAACAGAATCCAAATAAAGGTTATTTCAACTGGACACAAAATCCAGTTTAGACGCATGCTTTGTTAATAGGAATGAATCAAAAACTGTACTGGGTTTTTATATAAATCATATCTAATAATTAAGGATGTGTTTTATGAACCAACTGTAAATCCCTTACTTGTCATTACAGTGTAGTAAAAGGGAAGATATATTTATTTGGAGGTTGCTCAACCCAGGAAGCTGAAGAATGTCTTCCAGGAGTCCACAGCTTTGACCTCAGTGAGTAGAAATATAGAAATAAAGTATGAGCTATTTATAGCTTAATTAAGGTAATGAGAAATCTAAAAAGCCTTTCAATTACAGCAACATTTCTTTTATGAAAACTTGCAATAATTATTCTAATGTATTTATATTCAATGTCATACAGCCCAAAATATGACACCTAATACTTTTCCAAGCTCAAAAATTATCCTTTGTGTGGGAAAAATTGTCTGCATAACAAAATGACGTCTACAGTAATTTCAGAATGAGAGCTTTCAAATGCCAAATAATGGAACTATAGCATTGGAAGGGAACTCAGAGATCATCCAGTCTAGCAACCCTCTGCAGAGAAACAGGATTTGCTGTTTCTAAATCATTCCCAATAGATGCCTGTCTAGCCTGTTCCCAACAAAATCTAAACAAAGTATTTTCTGGAGTCTGGATTTATGGTGCATCCAATGACCATCTTTTTTTTTTTTTTTTTTGACTGGGGGATGATTTATTAGTCCTGTTTCCATAGGAAAACAGAGGTAATTCTAATAGACACTTTTGTTTCTTAACCGGTTAACCAAATGAAGATGGATAGCAAGAGGATAACCCTTTTTACTACTGTATAGCCATTACTGTAGCTCTAGAGTTTGTTGTCCCAAACCCTATAGAGAACTGCATCGAATGCAACTCATCTCCCTTCTCCATTCACTGGAGGCAGCTTGGTTCACTGGTGGATTCCCTACTGTGAATGTGGAAGATAAAATACTAAGTCTGCACCAAAGATTATTGCACAATCTGCTGTGTTTCAAATGCCATATCAAACTTACTGTCACAAAGAAATATATTTTGAGACACTAGGCTAGACCCAAGCAAGGGCCTTTAAATATTGTCTTATTAAATTTTGATACATAAATGATAAAATTTTAATTACTTCATTTTTAAGATCAATATGCAAATATTTTTTCTAGCTGTTCTATATATAGGTAGTTAGAAAATGGTTTCCCCATCCTACAAAATCTTTTGCATTTTTCCCATTCCACATTCAGAACAATTGAGAGACATTTTGAAATTGTTTTTCCCTTTATACACAGAGTGAGGATGAGAATAATCTACAATTCAGTAGTTCCTGGAGATACTGAAGATCTAAGCGGAGCAGACCCTTGAACCTGGGACTCACACATTGCAGATGAACTCTCACATTTCAGTGGGTGGGCTATAGGATGAATCTCTCCCTTTCTCCCTCTGGTGCAATGAATATTTAATTATGTATCTAAAGTGCAACCACTCCAGCAAAGGAGGGATTCATATTTAATTAAAATAACCAAAATGGTATATTTTAATAAAACAATATATAAGTTTATCATATAGAAGAAGAAATGAAAGAATTTCTGTTTTAGATACAAGCTTTCATGAATCCTATAGGCTGCTGACAGACATGAAAAAATAAATAAATGAAAACAGCACTTTACCAGAAGAGGAAGCACGTTAGTTCAACCTGGCCCCACAGCATTTGTATAGATCATATTCTTCAGTGGGGCTTTTTGGGGCTTTTATCTAAAGATGATTCAATTAACTATTAGATAAAAGTACAAAAATGTACCACTGAAAAGTGCAATCTGTACAGACATTGGGCAGTCCGGGTCAAACTAATGTGATGCCTCTTATGAGCATGCGCTGAGCTTGGCATGGGAGCACACTAAGCTTAAAGTAAAGCTGTTTTGGTTTGGTTTGGTTTGTTTTTTTCATGTGTGTAAGTAGCCATAAACTTTATAAGGAAAATAATCCATGAAAAATCCAAGATGTGCAGTGTCCTTTGGTCTGTTTCACTAAGATAAAAAAATGTAGATAAAGGGGAGATGAGCTGCAGGAAATAAGAGGGAGATGACACCCAAGTTCTCTGACTAAAATTAAGCACACGAATTAACCTTATAAGCAGCAGAGCCTTAGACATGAAGGATTTATGAGGAATATAATACACAAAAAGAACTAAGCCAAAGGACCAGATGGTTCCTTCCCAGGAAAGGAAAAAGTCAGATGTCCTTGAAAGCAAGCAAGCAAGGTAGGGAGTAATTCTTTGAGCAACTATGACCTAGAAAAGTTAAGTACAGTATTCCTCATTAAATATGGCCATTTGTGAGTTGCAGCTTGTAGAAGCCGGGCACCCCCCCAAAAAAGGACTGAAAACCAAAGAAGGCAAAATAAACTGAGAAAGAGGGGTTCTTTGCCAGTTCTAATGGGTCTGTGTTGCAACTATACAGTATGGATTTGCTGTTCTCTTGAGTGTCACCCTAAATTTCCATGTCATTAATGCCTACAAAAATCTTGCTGTGAGTTACTGCCATAATTAAGATTATAGTTACGTTGCATGGACATTCACATTCTTAGGCAGAGACCATTAAAATAAAAACTGTCTACCATGCTTTGTTCTATGTGAATCTTTGAATTTATGGTTTTCTTTATACAGAGTAAATAAGCTAAAAAGTAACAAAAATTTAAAATTTAGGTCCAGATTTTCAAAATATTATGCACAAGGACTTCAGCTAGCCACATAAATCCCGTAACATTTTTCCAAGTATCTTTTTGCTCTGTGTATACTCCCTAAATGCCTACACATATCAGAATATTTATACAGGATTTGAGAAACTTCTGAAATACATTATTGTGAAATTTGGACCAAAAGTATAGAGTAGAATCATTATTCCCTGTACCCACTTGAGCCAAAACAGTTGGTGCCTTGCACACTTGAACCAAGCTGTTGTGTTCTGCAGCCGACGTACAGGTACTTTGGGTTACTCACTCACGATTAGTTTCCCTTAGCTCGTCTCCCATGCCTTGATCTCAAAGAAGAGGAATAAAGAAAAAGGAGGTTCCTGTGCTGGTAAAGACTGTCGTGAGTGTGTTCCCATCAATGGTGTTTCTTGGGACTCTGCCTCCCCTACACCCCATCCAGTTACCAACTGAGTCTTGATGGCTCCAAGCTTACAGCTTTCAGCAAGATACAAATAGATCTTACTTTGTCCTAAGTTTTCTCTTATCCCTTTTAATAAGGGAAACTACTATAAATTGATCCAGTGTCCTTTTTTTTACCTGACAGCTCAGTCCAGGATAGACCTATAATAATCCTGAATCTCCCAATTCACTTAATTAATTGGTGGGTATATAATTATAGCTATATCAATTCATAAAAAAGAAACGTAAATAATGATCCCAAAAATTAAATAATGATTAATTCATTATGCTTATCTTCACCTACAACAGTTTCATTATGAGTTCAGTAAGAGGGTTCACTGCACATCATATGCACATTTAGCTCGGGGTTATCCCACCTTCTTAGTCTCCAATCAGTTGTCTCCTAGGCTTGCTATCTGGTGTTCCACCAAGCTTTGGCTTGAGGCTTCCCTGGTGTCCTGTCTCAGGATTTCTGCTTTCGTGTATGAGGGTGTGGATGCAGACATCCCAGCTCCACTGCCCGGCACCATCTGAATGCTGAAGACCCCTCTGGGTCTCCAGTCTGAGGAATCAATCTGGCCGCTTACCCTGGTTCTGTCTGGTGTGGTCAGTGTAGGTGTGCTGCTCTCTTCATCCTCTATGCCCAACTCTGCCCTGGTCTTTTAAACTCCAGCAATGGGCGCAGGTTTTTTACTTCACAGCCCACCCACTTCTTAAGCAGCAGCATGCACACACTCACAAACCATGGCATAGGCACCATGTACTACTCCATTTCTACCAGCTCCACACCTGTAGGTAAGAACCGGCCCTTTCCTGCCATTTCCAAGCAAAACAAGCAGGTTGTTGGCACCTCGGCTGAGTGAAAGAAAGCAGGTTGTCAGTGCTTCAGGGTTATCTGTGTATTTTGTCGCTCAGCGACATTCTCCAAAATATATTATTCACTTAGTCTCTTATAATATATTTCTCTGTGAGATGTTATGTAAACTGCTGGTAACACTTATTTTTATACACTGCTTACATGGAGATTTTACATTTAGATGAATCTAACTAGGGTTAGGTCAATCTAAATGCCCATCTTTGCAGACATTCAAGGGGTTTAAATTGGGCTAAAAATGGTGGACATGATCCAAATTATTTCACCTGAGTAGGTTGGGAAAGGATTAAGTTAAGCCAACAAGCATCTGAACACATTCAGAGCTTAGCCCCAGGGCTGGGGAAGCACAGCTGCTTGCCCAAGCCCTGAAGCCACACTCTTCCTACCCCACCCCAAACCTGACTGGACTATTTTAGCCTCTCAAGCCCCCACCCAAGGACCCAGCAACCTCCCACTGCAGACACACCAGCCACCCCCCTCCCCAACCCATCAGACTCCCTTGCAGACCCACTGCCACTGCCTGATACCACCTGCCACTCCCTCCACCCTGAGTTACTGACATCAGGTTCCCTGCACAGCTCCCAGACTGGTGAATTCCTGTATACAATCTACAATCACATGGCTTAAAATAAGTCACGTGATTGTAGACTGGCTGTGGTGAGTGTCTGTACACACCACAGTGGAATGTTTCAATACCATAGGTAAGTTATAACATTCATATTTTTTAAATTCCCCTTAGATTTTGGGTAACTTTTTTTTCAAATAAATATCTACAGAACTAAAGGAGAAACTAATACATAAGGTGCATATAAATTGAAAGGACCAGGTCAAATTACAAGCCAATGAAAGAAAAAAATAATAGCACTCATGAAAATAAGAAGTGCAGTCTAAATCATCTTATCAGTTCATTATAATTTGAAAAGATGGTATATCATCTTATGAGCATATAAATATAGTTTATACAAATGTTCGATCTGAGAGTCATATTTCTGATCAAAATCTCACTAAATCATTAGAATTATGTCCAGTAACAGCAATGGGTTTGGGGTCTAGTAATAGAAAGATATATGTAGATGTTGTGTGTAGTTCAGGAAAGCAGCTGGAAGGCACAATAAGGGACTATTCATCTGTATGTGACAGTGAGGAAGAAATAACAAGAGAAAAACCTATGATCAAAGGTGCATGATCTTTTACATGATGCATTTTGTATGTTGGTCTGATGGAGTACATTAGTTGTCTTAGATCTGGGAACTTTAAATTGAAGGTAACTTTTGATTTGTTGTGGCGGGTTTTTTTACTTCACTGGGTTCCTTATGGATGAAGGACCAGACACATAAGCATGCTTCTCTGGAGTAAAGATGTTTTATGTAATCTCCCAGGATAGGAAGCATAATTTTGTGTTGCTTGTCTTCATCATCAGGATTATAGATCAGATTTCATTTTCTGTTCCCTGAGGGTGAATTGTGTTCATGTGGGGTTTTTCCCCATAGCTTAGTGGGGCTTCTTTGTATAAAGTAAGAGATATGAGAATATATTTTTGGGTACAATCATATGGCACTACACGCACACCCAGATTATAGAGGTATCCGAGTGGTTTACACAGAGTTGCCCAGATCACACAAAGTAAGCAAGTGGTCACACACCCAACTCTGCAAAGATCCCTGCCTGCAATATTGTTGGTATCTAGTACAATCTGGTAAGGATTTTATTTTGAGTTGAACACAGATTTAATGAGGTGGCGTTTTTATGTTGTGCCAGATCCAATTACATCTGATGCAAGATACTTCAGTAATATAGAAGTTCATTTAATTTGGTCTTGAACAGATGAACACAAAGACTAAAAGCAACTTAGGACCAGCTTCTGTTCTACCCCTTAGGCATATAAGTGCGCTTAGGCACCTAAGAGTGATAATATTCTGCTCTCCTTGAGTCCCTGAAAAGCAATTAATACAGCAGGTGAGCGGGTCCTCCTGTTCACTGTTTTTGTGGATTAAGCTTAAAGGTAAGATAATGGTGTCACAACAGTAGATATATTAATGGATTTTCAGGACTTGAATAGGATGGAATAGAATTGCATGTAGATACCTAAGTCTTCTTAGCCACCTAATAAGTGGAACAGAATCTGGCCCTTAGTGTTTAACATTTTTCTTGCATCTCTCCTTAATTATTGTTCAAAGTATCTTTGTCTTCAAATTCTTATACATCCTTGGCTCATTGAGTCTAAGAATTTTGCTAGCACTGTTCACCAAGGTGACATGTTACATCATGTATTTGCATTTTTAAGGAATGAAATTCTTTTCAGCTTTCACTGATTTTTTTTTTCATTCAGAGGCTGAGCCACATAGGTAAAATCTATCACTCTGAAAGAAGTGTCAGAATATTAGCAAGGTTCAATCAACTTGATGCATGACTTACCATTGCACTTGCTTATGGAAAGGAAATATAGGATTAAATTCAGGCCTCAGGCTGCACTAGGCATATGTCCAAAAGCTACAGCTGTGGGGGGCAAGTAAGGGGAACACTGCAGGCAGAGTTCATATTCAGCATGTCCTTTGCTATCCAAAAGATGGCAGAGGTAACATACTAAGGCAAGAGGTATAGTTCCTGTGCCTGTGAACCTTTTAGACTCATAGCATGAGATTCTCTGCAGAGCCTGTACACATCCGAATCAGTCAAAATATAGGCCAATTTTGTACGAATCTGGGAAAACAGTGGCAAAGTACTTAACATATATATTCAAATATATGACAAGGTTTTTCCCTCCATTCAGCATGGGAGGGGCTCATTTTAGATTTGACTGTGGGCAGACAAGCAGCTGCCGTGGCTCTGTGTGGAGCCAGGGTGGTTCATGCAGCAGGTAGGGGATACAAGGGAGAATGTGGGGAAAGAGCGTATGGTGGGCGGGGAGCTCGGGAGAAAGAGTGGGAGGATTGCAGGGCAAGTGGGGTGCAGAGTGAGGGGAGT